TTCTTAGAAGCAGCAGCCCACGCTTTACTCAGCTTTGTTACATAAATACCTAGCACAGCGCTTGGTCCATGGTAGACACCAATGCAAGTTTGCTTTTCAAAAATAGAAATCGGCTTTATGGAGGTAGGTGTGCTGTCTGATGACTTATGATTGTTAGTAAGTGTATACAGGTTTGCAACCATCACCACAATCCGGTTGTAGAAATTTCATCACTCTAAAATTTCTTTCATGCTTATGTCCTGTCAAGCCCTTCCCTCAGCAAATGCTGATTTGCTTCATTGACTCTAGAGGTTTGCTTTTCCCAGAAATGTTATATATTAAACCGTACATTTGCTTTTGTTTCTGTCGTCTTTTGAAGTTGATCTGTGCTGTTGCATGTATCAGCAGGCTGTACCATTTTTCACACTGCCAGCAGTGAGAAAGGGGTGTCCAAGTGTGAACACCTTTCCCAAACACTTGATATTTCCTGTTTTTGTTTTTCTTATTACAGACTTTCTAGTGATTGTGTAGTGCTATCCCATCATGGTTGTAATTTGTGATTACCTAATGAATAATGATACTGTTAATAAGGGCCATTTATACATTGTCTTTGAGGTGTTCAATCACATCTTTTGCCCATTTTTTTAAAATTTGGGTTGTTTTTCTCATTATTGACTTGTAAAAATCCACATATCCTGGATACGAGCCCTTGATCAGATACATGATTTGCAAATATTTTTCCCAGTCTGTCGTTTGTCTTTCCACTTTCTAAAATAGTGACTTTTGAAGAGAAAAATGTTATAAGTTTGAAAAAGTCCAATTTATCACCTTTTTTCTTTTATCGTTTGTGCTTTGGGGATGCTAGCTAAGACAGCCTCGACTGACAAGAAGACAAAATGTGAAGATTTTTCTAGTAGGTTGCATTCTAGAAATTTTATAGTTTAGTTCTTACATTTAGGTTTATGGTCCATTTCAAATTAACTTTTTTGTGTGTCTTGCCAAGTCAAGGTCTAAATTCATATGCTGCCATGTGGCTATCTACGCATAACTATTTCAGCTTTATTTGTTGGGTAGACTGTCCATCCCCCATTGAATTGCCTCAGCATCTTTGTCAAAAATCAATTGACCACAAATGCATGAGTATATTTCTGTTCTCCATTCTGTTCCATTGATCTATATGTCTATCCTGATGCCAATACCACACTTTCACGATTACTGTGGCTTTATAGTTTTGTAATCATGTAAAGTGTAAAAACCATGTAAAATAAATATTCTGACTTTACTCTTCTCTTGAAAATGTCTTTGGCTATTCTAGTTCCTTTGCCTTTTCACATAAAATTTAAATCAGCTTCTCAATATCAACAAAAAAGCCTGATGAGATCTTGATAGAAATTGTATTGAATCATAGAAAAATCTGGGGGAAATGACTGTCTTTAAAACACTGAGTCTTCTAACCCATGAACTTGGAACATGTCTATATTTATTTAGGTGCTCCTCTAATTCCTCTCAACAATGTTTTGTAGTTGCAGTGTACAGATAATACACTTTCTTCTGTTTATTTCTAATTGACTTTTTTTTATATTATTACAAATGGATTTTTTTTCATAATTTCATTTCTGGATGGGTCATTGTTAGTCCACAGAAATAAAATCAATTTTTATATTGAGCTTGCCAAACTTGCTTATTATTAGTTCTAGCAGTTTATTTTGTAGATTGCTAAGGATTTTTTTTTTTACAGATAATGCTGTATTGCCTGTGAATAAAGACAGTTCTGCTTTTTTCCCACCCAGCTTCTCTTTAATATTTTTCTTGTCCTATTGAACTAGCTAGAATATCCAGTAAAATGCTAAACAGAAGTGGTAAAAGCCTCCTTGCCTTGTTACTCATCCTACAGGGAAAGCATTCAATCTTTTACCATTACATATGATAGTAGCTATGGGACGTTTTTTAGATGCTCAATTGCAGGTTGAACAACTCCCTTTGTGGTCCTAGTTTGTTGTGAGATTGTATCTTGAAAGGATGTTTAACTTTGTCACATGCTTTATCAGCATCTATTGAGATAATGGTGTAGTTTTTGCCATTTGCTTATTTACAAGGAGTAGAACAGTATTAGATTTTTTTATGGTAAACCAATCTTGAATTCATGAAATAAACTCTGCTTTGTCACAGTGACTAATGATTTTTATATTCTGCTGGATTGAATTTGCTAACATTGTGTAAAGGATTTTTGGTTAGGTGTTTGTGAGAGATATTGGTGTTCTTTTCTTGTAATATCTTTTCTGGTTTTGATATCAGAGTAATGCAGGACTGAGAAAATGAGTTGGGAAGGGTTTTGACTCTTTTTTTGAAAGAATTTGTTTGCAGTTAGTATAGATTCTGATAGAATTCACCAACAAAGCCACTTGCCACATTTTATTTGGGGGAAGATGTTTAATTACTAATATAATTTATTTACTAAAATTAAGTCCTATTGGATTTCATATGTCTTCTTGAGTCAGTTTTGACAATTTGCATCTTCCTCAGAATCCGTCCATTTGTTTCATACAGTTGTTAATACTACCCTTTTACATTTTGGAAGGTCAGTAGTGGTGTCCCCTCTCAGTCCTGACTTTGGCAACTCATATCTCCCTTCTTCTCTTAAATCTAACTAAAGGTTTATTTATCACTGTTGTCGACCATTTCAAGAAACCAAGCTTGCATTCATGGAGTCTCTCTTGTTTGTACATTTTCAAGTGTATAGATTTCATTTGGGTTTTTCTCTTCCTTTCTATCAATATAGCCACTTCCTACTTACCCTGTAGCTGACATCTTCCAGGATAGTAGACGTGCCCACCGTGGACTCTGCTTGCCACAACGTCTCCTTGATGCTGCAGCCATAAAGGAACACATTTTTCTTTTGGGAGTGGCCATGGAAATCACAGAAGACCTACAATGGCCAAACAGAGGAGAAAGTAAATCCTGGTCAGGCCTATTGGTTTCTTTTTTTTTTACCATGAAAAAAAAAATATATATATATTTATTTATATTTATAGTTATATATAGTTAGTTTCAGGTGTACAAAACAATGTAATAGTTAGACCTTTATACCCCTCACAAAGTGATAACCCCCTCACCCAATCAACTACCCCTCTGACATCGTATAGAGCTGTTACAATTCCATCGACTCTATTCCCTATGCTGTACTCCATATCCCGTGACTATATATATATACATATATATATATATATATATATATATATAAATTAGTTGACATTCATTATTATTTAGCTTCAGCTTCAGGTGTACACTACATTGGTCAGGCATCTATACCATCCAGGAAGTGGTCTCCCTAATAAGACAAGCGTCCATTGGATACCCTGCAAAGTCTTTACAACATTATGATTCTATTCCCAGGCCTACTGGTTTCTTAAACATTTAAAACATCAATTTCCTCAGGGAGATATTGTCTACTTAGCAGAACCAGCCATGTGGGGACCATTGGTGACTTTGACAAGAGTTGTATTGGTAAAGTGATAGGGGAAAGTTACACTGGAAGAGGCTTAGGACTGAATGGGATGTGAGGAGATATGAGTTACATGTAGCACTTTTCAGAAATTTACTTGTGGAGAGGAGACACAGTCAAAACCAGAAGAGGGAGTAGGAACAAGAGCTTTTAAAACAATATGAGAGTTTTGCACAATTTAAAAAGTCAACAGGGAATAGCCATTTAAAAGGAATAGATTAAATATAAAAAAGAGACGCTAATCAATCACTATCATGTTTACTCTAGGGCAGCGGTTCTCAACCTGTGGGTCGCGACCCCTTTGGGGGTCGAACGACCCTTTCACAGGGGTCACCTAAGACCATCGGAAAACAAAAAGATACTTACATGACAATTCATAACAGTAGCAAAATTACAGTTATAGAGTAGCAACGAAAATAATTTCATGGTTGGGGGTCACCACAACGTGAGGAACTATATTAAGGGGTCGCGGCATTAGGAAGGTTGAGAACCGCTGCTCTAGGGTTTGATATAGTAAAAAATGACCATCAAATCCAATGGCTTAGCAAGCAAAGGTTTACGGTCCAGCACACGCTCTTCATTCTAGAGTCAGTCTAAAGAAGATGCCCCAATTTGGGACATGTTTCTATTGTGGCAGAGGTGGAGAAAGACCACAGGAAGAATCCTATTATGGCTCTTAAAACTTCTACGGAAGCACGGCAAACATCATGTCTGCTCTCATTTCATTGGTCAAAGTGAGTCACATGACCAATATACTCAATGGGGTGGGGAAGTATATTCCTCCTACAAGGAGGTTCTGTAAATCATAGGACAAGAGGCAGTCATGTGAAATCCTATTAGCATAACAGATACACTTGCCGCTTTGCAATGGACTACATTGCACCCCTATCAAGAGGTGGAGTCTATTTCTTCACCCCTTGAATCTGGACTTAGCCATGTGACACTTTTTAGCCAGTAAGTATTGGCAAATACGATGCAAATTGCAGTTTATAACAGACTTGCACACTGTAGCTGGCTGTTTCGCTGCTCCTGGGAACCCTGCAAGAGCCCAATGTGGAGAAACACAGGCTAGCCTGCTGGATGATGAGGGATGTGCTACAGAGCCATGCTCCAGTGACCTAGCCGATGGCAAACTAACCATCAGACCTGCGAATGAATCCATCTTAGCCAATCCTTCCCAGCCACGCTGGCTCAGCCAGAAGAATCCCTCAGTTTACCTGCATAATTCTTATGCAGCATCATTAGGGGTATTTAAGCCACTATATTTTGGGGTTGGTTTGTTATCTGGCATAAGCAAAGTGCTAGAACAATCTGTTTTTTTAGTCTAAATATTTGCTTCCTCCCTTCCATATACAAAATACACTCCTCTCCTCCCCAAGAGAAACACTCTTAATATTCCATCCCATCACAGTATCTATCGGACTCTCAGTCCAAGGTCCCATGATAGTTTCTGTGCCCCATAGATGCTTGCTCCTGACCCATGAACAAAAAAGTCATCTGACTTCCACCCACCTACACACAATGGCTGAATGAGGAAATATTGACCCCAATAAACGTTCATGCTTGGAAGAGGATGAGTAGGATGGGCACAGCAGTCATTTGACTGTGACAATTCTGAAATGACAATAGGCAGACATTGTCAGGTTCCTGTGTATGTTCCTATATGCGTGGGGAGGGCTAGCTGGTTGATTAGACCCTAGTTCTGCTCCCTCTAAGGAGCTCTTTTTTTTTTCTCTATAGATCTTTCCCCTGCCCTTGGCAGATGCTTACTTCTCCATTATTCTCCTTGGCCACGTATGAAAAGGGCACTGCAGAATCACAGCCCACTCTGAGGCCAAGCGTCTATCTTTTCTGATTCCAAAGGTAGAAATTTGTGGGTCCAAAGATAATGTTTGTCACAAAAAGTCACAGCCTCTTTGAATTGAAGCACTGGAAATAAAATACATGAAGACAAAATAAACTTTTTTTTTCCTTTTTTGCCTGATTTTAATTTCTCTAAAGTATAACTGAGGGTCTAACAAATTAAATCTGAATCTCTAAAATGTGCACTCCTATCAAGCAAATGTATATGTAAAAGCAAATGTATCACCAAATAGAACAAAATTTGGAGAAAGAAAATGTGGCTATACTGTTGAAGGTCATTATGCTACACATGATGCAGTATAATATTTTCTGAAATTAGGCTGACTAATTAAAGATAGATATTGTAACAGTAGAGTAAACCCCAAATATTTTAAGGTGTATGTATAATATTCAATCATGGAGATAAATTGGAATCATAAAAATGATCAATACAAAAAAATCAGAAAAGACAGACAACTTTAAAAACAGGTGAAGCAAATAGAAGACAGCTATCAAGATGGTAAATTTCAATCCAAACATATCAATAATCTCATTAAATATAAATGGTCAAAGCATTCTAATCAAAAGATAAGGATTGTCAGATTGGTTAACAAGCAAGATCAAATATATTCTGAGTGAAAGAAATTCATTTTAAACAGAAAGACATAAATAGGTTAAAAGCAAAAGATGTAAAGAGATATACTAATGTAAACACTAGATAAAAGGAAGGTGAGTAGCTATATTATTAGATTAAATAGACACCAGAACAAGAAGCATTATCTGGAGTAAAGAGGGATGTGTTGGTACATGTGCCCACGTTGTCTATGGTGGTTTAAATGCTACCACGTAGCCGGCCTCAGCTACCCCACTAGAATCTCCATGGAAACCAGGTACCCCACCTCAATAGTGGCATCGCCTGCAGACCTGGCCTTCAAAGAACAGGCACTATAGAGCATCTCAAGGATGAAGACACACCCCTCCCTAAAGTACAGAGGGTGTGTCTGTATATACATTTTAAGAAAGGAAAAAAAAAACTGTACTAAAATTGTAATACAATGAATGAAGCTAGCATGCGTTTGATTAACGCCATCTTTTGAGCAAATGTCATACTACACACTGCTACCCTAATTCAGTTCAACTTCTAAAAGTAATACATAGATTACATCTCTTAAAATGCATATTTTTTGGCACACCCGGTATTTCTCACCACCTTTTTAGAGGCAGTTCCTTCTCAACCTTCGATGGGTGTCAGGTCTCACAACATAAATCCAGTGCACTTCCTATCTCCCTTAGATTTGGGTTCCCTTCTGCACATTATGCCATGGAAGTTCTGGCTCCTCCATCTCAGTATAGGCGGCTGTTGAATGCAAGTTTCAGTCGCCAACCAATTGGGCTGGTAGATCTAACTCCAGCTGCTCAAGGTAACAAATGAACTCTGAAATGTCTCCTATCAATGAAATCAGCGAAACTGCATCTGATGCTCTGCCCTTGTTAGTTTAGCACTCTTAGAATCCATTCCTACACTTGTTGCCCAGTTTTCTGATGACGCATATTGGCAAAATGTTGCTAATGTTTTGGTGTGTAAGCTATTTCCTCCTGAGTCATAGGGTATACTTGTCTTCTACAATCATGCTTGATTTTAATGCTACTTATGAGATCAGGGTGCAACATGGGGTACTTGTAGTACATCAGGGGGGAAAATGACCATCCTCTTTCAAGAAATTCGCCCCCAGTGAGGGTGTCACAGGATGTTTAAGCAGAGAAAGACTAGTCTAGTCAGATAGTATTTCTATTGATAAGTGAGGCTTGAATGACTTGGGATTCAAGATGGCCAGTTGCATTTAGGTTCAACCATTGGCCCTCATTCCAAGTTCCAGGATCTTGTTATTTGCAGATCAATTCCTAAAATCCTTGTGAGAGCCTGAGCAACTGTCATTGCAATTTGGGAATCTACACAATTAATTTTTTTATGTCATTCTCAGCAATACCAGGCCCTGCGGTTACAGGAAAACAGATATAATTTCATAGCTGCCATACAAGTTCTTTGGTCCTCAAACAATAAACTGAGTTGAGAGTTAAGAAATCTAATCTTGTCATTTTCTTTCTGTACCCACTCCAATGGATTTAAAAGTCTAATGCTTGCAGTCTTCATCACTGCCAGAATGGTCAGTGGCAGCAGCCATTTGGACTCCCAGGGCACTCGCAGAGTTGGTACCTCAGCAAAATCAAACACAGCTAACTGTCTGATTAATTGTCATCTCATTGCATGACATCAATCACTAGCATCCCAAATCCCATTGGCCAGTGCTCATCCCAAGAACATGATCAACCTAATGAACAAATCCCATCTTTCCATACATCAATAAGAAAAAGAGAGGCGACCGAATTTTTAAATAGGCTGAAAACTTGAATTGACATTTCACAAAAGAGAATGTGCAAATGGCTATCAAGCAAACGAAAATGTACTCCACCTCATTAATATCAAGGAAATGTAATCTAAACACCACAGTGCAATGCCATTGCATCTAACGAGTTAATAAGACTGCTAATATCATGAAGACAGACAATGCCAAGTGTAGACC